GAAAATATGCGTTGTAGTCCAAACGAGTAGTTTGTTGTAGTTTTTGAAAAGTGATTTCTGTTAAATAAAATATCTCCTTTTGAAGTGGACTTTGAACGTTGTAACTTTGCAGATCTTTTTATGCTCAAACAGCAACATTACAGACTAACTAAAGTTGAAAAAGTGAAAAAGCATAATAGGACCCCTTTAATACAATCACACACATACACAATGCTGTCTAAAAAAAAAAAAAAGTAGTGATCAGTAAGTACTTTTCCCACTGCAACAGGACATGGAGGAAGAGATCTCACCTGGTAGTAGTTTTTGATGTGTCGGATGACAGTGTTGAGGTTCTGTATTCTCAGGTTGACATCATTGTTGACTTGTTTGTTGACTCGCTGATTCATGGGGCTTGGGTCTCTGTGGACCAAGAGCAACAAGAGTACATTTGAAAATCTCACATAAGCACTTTTATAATGGCTGGGCAGGATGTTTGACTATCATTCAACAACCTAGTTAATTAGTGAGGTCGACTAGTTTACTTTTTAACAGTTTGGTGAACCCAATTATACATGATTTCCAAGACCAGTCGACTAGTCGTTCAAACAACCCACCCTGAGGCTGCGCTACAAATAGGCCTAATTATTATCCATCACTTTCATAAACTGAGCTGTATTTTTATTCATTTTTATTTTCATTTTCAAGTAATACATCTTGGTTTATATTTTTAATCTGATTTAACAATACAAAAAGTTGTGTGTTGCAGTTTCTTGACTTTCTCTTTTTCTTTTATTCTATTCTTTATCAATATATCATGAATTACTCCACTTGGCTACATTTGGAATCTCTCATGTCTCTTTCCAAATGCAACATATCTCTCTCACTATTTCCACAGATAAACAATAAAAAACTAAATATTTTGCCCTTTTATTCTAATCTTTGCTCTTTTATTCTAATTCATATTCAGTAGGAATGTTTCCAAAACAACAAAAAGCATTCTGAATGATCTGTCATTAATGCTGAAAACTTGATTTATAAGATACATAGTTTTGCACATCAATAATTTTAATTGGAATGCACAGTGACCTGATCTTTGCATTACACTTTGGAGCATTGCATTACTTTACTTTGCATATAGATTTTTTTTTCTTGGATTACAAACAAATCCTTGTTTTGAATAAACTATATCCTTTACATCAACAAAAAATTCCAAGTTATTCTTATATAACAAGTAATTAGGCTTTCATATCACTGGACTGGATCATTGATGTAAAGGTTGAAGCCAGTAAGTGGGTCCTGGTCTTGGCACAGACAGTTCTGAGGTCCTACATAGACTCTGTTTGTGCGATCCTCATTTACATTTGTTTTGTGAGAATGGCATGCAAATTCTGCCAGCTTGGCCCACAAATTCCCGCTTGCAAGTGAAAGAACCTTAAAAGATCAGGGTCAGTTTTCTTTTTTCCTCTGCTGTCTGGCTCAACTGTTTTCTATTGCCTGAAGCCAAGAACACTGCATTGAGTTTCACTTTTTGTGGCATTTTACGAGCATGGATATTGCAACTGACAGCATGGTTGGAAAAACAATGATTGTTTAGTAGAAGTCAAGGGAAGACCGATAGGGTGCATGCAGAGGACATCTGCCAGATGGGATGCGTTAGCATAACAGCGATGGTGTTACCGCATACCTGGTGAATGAATACACTGTCAAGGCTATCGGTTTGCTACAGGCATACTGGTGTGGGCACATTAAAAATGGATGTGGGTGAGGAGAAAGGAGCAGTTTGTACATTGCTCTCAACATTCCACATCTCCACTCATTTGTAATGGTTCAGTGGAAATACACTGGACACCTGAGTATGTGAGTCTTCATACTAATGATGTACAAGATTTATTATTCTTGTAACTTCACATATATACTACATAATTTTTAGGTTGCAAAACTATAATCAACAATATGTCTGGTTTTGTGTTCACTTGACCCTTATCAAAATTATGTTTCTTTGTATTATTTCCTTATACTTATCTTATTATTTTTTCTTAGAAAGAGCTTATATAGAATTGAGCTAGTTTTAACCAGTGTTAATTTAAATAGTATAATAGATTTTATTTTATATTTTCAGTTTTCATTTTAATTTAAGATTTATTTGTTTATTTTACTTTTAGTTTTAGTCATTTTAATACTTATTAGTTATCTTATTAATAAACATTTTATTTCAGTTAGCTGCCAAGGCAAGATTGCTAACAATCTGTTCATCTGAATGTGTATCTGGCTGTAGTGAACGCAACTTTAAAGATGCTTTAAAACTTTTTTGATCATCTTTAAGTCGGCATGAAACAGAAATTGTGATTGTCTTTTCTTCTCTATTGCGATGCATATGCGAGTGAAACATTCTCAGAATTGCTGGAAGGGATTATTGCCCTGTCCTTGCACCAATGGACATATCATCAAAAGACATTGTTGTGAGGGGACATTAAAAAATGTGCATGGATAAAGAGTTTATTAAAAAGACACTTCAATACTGCATTAAAATTACAAGCTTTGATTTCATGCTGACTTCCTGAATTCAGCAGGGAATATGTCACATTAGGAAAGAAGAACGGGTTCCAAATGCCATTTCATGTTGACTAAGGCAACTAGAGGAATAAAACTGATGCAGTCCATGCCCTAAGTGACATGACACACACCAGTGTACAATAATCTATTGAAGACAGCGACAAGAGTGTCTGAGGACAGCTAATACAGTACATGTGTCATCCTTCCATTAGACATGCCCCCCACCCCCATTTATAGAGAAAATATTTCCTTTGTCTGAGGAGGTCTAGTGTTTAAGCCCCTGATTAAGCCAGAGAGGGCGGCAAAGCTTCTCGAGTAAAAGTAGGTTGAAGGACAAAGCTGATGCAGCGGCTTCAAGAAGTCGAAAACAGTAGTTTTATAAAGCTCAATCTAGATGCACAAACTCTAGGTGTCAAAATATGTGTAATGAGCTGCTTTGCATGATGCAAATACTCTCAAAAGAAGAGATTTCCTTGTTCATTAGTAAGACTCACAAGCGACAGTGCTGCTGCCTAGTCACCTGTTAGCTGAGGTTACAGCTTGAGCTAACCGAAACTTCCGTGGCCTAACATTCAGTCAGACGCGGCTGAAGTTTATACCGCATGCTTGCAAACTGATGTTACACATGACCTTAAAAACTCTTGGCAAAGTACAGCCCCAAATCAGCCGGAGACCCTTTATTAACACACTAATTATGGAAGAGGAACAAAACTGATGGAGCGTGAAGATTCGGATTGAGTGTCTGCACAGTTGGATGTCAGGCAGGAAAGAATAGGATGTGGTTTCGAATTTTAAAAAGATAGGCTCGTAACAGCTGCTAGATTACAGCATGTAGGCACAGTCACACACACACAGTTCTGCATCTGTCACTCACATGTGTGTCATTATCTTATGGAGGAAGACACCATCCACTAAATCCATGAACATGGAGAGCTTGTCTTCTGAACTGGACCCAAGGGGTCCAAAAGTCTTGACCTGTAAAAAAAAAAAAAATCAATCAAGCAAATAAAATAGGTAGTAATATCATGACAGGATGCACGCACAGCTGCACAGCCATGCTTTCTGTTTCAGAACTGAACTGCAGAGTTTACAAAATTTAAAACACATTTACAAAGAGATACTTGTAAGATCGTTTTTAATAAATACTAAGTAAATATTGTTTGTCAAACGGTCTGTGTTCAACAGAACTGTCCTCCAATTACTATGTGTGTGTTTATGTTTCTTTCAATGTTATACAGTATCATGACACAGCACACATGTCAACATGGGAGTGTTGATGATTGTCTAATGTGGTTAAGATGGTGATGTATGAGTTGGAAACACAGTGGCCAGATAAAGCACAGCCAAACAGGACACAGGGGTCAGGGTAAGGGGGTCAGAGGAAGTTCCGCAGGTTTCGCCAAACCCTGTCAAGTGTCATTAAACTCTTCGTGTAGAATTACCTAGTGGGATTCATAAAAAATTAAAAATAAATATTTGTTACATTACATATTAAAAAAAAAATATATATATATATAGAGAGAGAGAGAGAGAGAGAGAGTAAGAACAACTATTAATTTTAAAACGTATATTACATAAGTAGAGAATAAATAAAGAATAAAATATGAACAAAATAAAATGAACAAATAAATACAACTTTTAGCACTTAGTTATATGTATTAAAATATAGATTAAAAAAACAACAAAATGTTGCAATAAAGTTTAAGCATAATTTAATACGCTCATACACATCTGCTAAATGAAAAGCATGTTAGTCTCTTTCCACTAGGTTTGATACAAACATAAGCATCAAGCCCACATTAGTATTGCTCAGGTTTGCACTGTCACTGGCCGCTGCTAAACAAACTACACAACGCAAATACAAACTCCGCGCACACACAGCAGGTGCCATCATGTCTTTGTGACTTACCCAAACCACAAGCGGCGAATCCATGAAGTTAGACATGAGTTCAGACACTGTAATATCCATTTTGGGGGGGAAACAGCACACAAAATACCCACGCAAGAGTTAAAATTGTTTGCAACTGAAGGTGCGTCTAAAGAAAGAAATAAAAAACAAAGTGTGTCGGACTCCTCTAAGGCTTTAGGTACTCCACACTACTGTCCACAGCAGAACAATGCAGGGGACGCGAATCAAATCCATTCTGGAAATAAAAAGACATCCTTTGAGGTAACAGTTTTAAAACTTTGAAATGGCTTACAATCCCAATAGTGAAAGGTTACGGATACATAAAAAATACAACACTATGGTCTATGCGGACTTGCGCGATTAAAGTTCAACTTCTCTCCATTTACTCTCAGCGATTGCTGGAGTTACTTTGTCGCCGCGCATTCAACCTGCACCCGCACGAACAGCACAGGAGAGTGACGTGCTCAACAGCCAATCAGCTGCGCGGACCCACAGGCGGGCGCTAGTAAACCGACCAATAGCAGGCTTGTAAGTACTGGGTTCCATTCAAAAATGACGTAACCAACAGCCCAAACTGTTGTCGGGACAACTAGCCCTCAACGGCGCAGCTCGATGGCACCCTCAGCAGGTAAAATGTATGTTTTTGTACATTTTGAAAATGTACACTTTGTTTCGCACACTTCCGTGCATTTATGAATCCTCTACCTTTAAAATGATCCTCTTTGGACTATTATTACACGCTGGATTAACCTTCGAAGCATTGATTTATGAAGGTCATGAATAGTAGCGTCATGTGCCCCTCAGTTTTTTTATTCAAATTTTAAATGCAACTTTAAAAAAATAAAGCAAAAATATTTTTGTCGTTGGTTCATCGATTACTGTAGATTTAATAGTCGTTTTTTAATCCAAAATATGTAATTTACGTTCATGACGTTTAATTCGTGCACAACATAATCTTGAGTCTGTATTAATTTACTCGTTTTATTGCTAAGTAGTGGTAGTGTTAATGCCACAACCTAAAACCAACAAAAGATCAACGTCTAATGATTTTAGTTTGACATTGAGTCTACGTAGTGTAAATGTTACTCCATGAATTTCATGAACTAAACACATCACTATTTTCTTACTACATTCTCACACTTACTCAGCACAGCAGTGTCTTCTAATCTACAGGACAAGAGCGGTATGTTTTAACATTAATTTTAAATAACATTTTACTTAGTGAAGTTAATTCAACTTTACCTGATCAGACTGTGTAATACTCACTTAATAGAAAAGTAAATAAGACTCAGACAGAAACACACACTACAAGTCCTTAAACAGACAAAAATGGGTAATGGTTACTGCAAACAGATAGTTTATTGATTTGTATGCTCCTAAAATTAGTCATACCTTGCTTTCAAATTATTATATGTGATTTTGCATTGAACATACAGATATAAAAGGAGAAGAGAGAATGGAGGCATATTAGTTGAAAGGGAGTTCATTCTAACGTAGACTGCAGTGTGTTTAAACCAAGAGAGAGAGAGAAAGAAAGAAAGATTTGGAGGTCCAAGATGTAATGGCCAAAAAAAACCACCATCTTAATAAAGCACCATGCTGACCCTCGCAAAAAATGACTCTGTAAACATATTCATATCCAAGAAACCAACAGTGAGATGAAATTTAACTATTGTTAAAAATGTTTCTGCAATAAAAAAATAATTAAAAGAAAAAATGCAAATAAAAAAAAATCATTGCTTATTTTAGCTTGCAGTGCCTGGCAGAAACAGTATGGACATATACTTCCATATTAATATAATACTGAAAAAAACTAAGACTTTGGAAATAGGGCACTTCAATTCTGTGTTAAATTCAATATACTGTTTTGATACAACATTTCAAAAACTTAATGAATATTTAATTAGCATGATCAGAATATGTGCATTCAGTTTAAATGTATTTAGGAAGTTATTAATATTATTATTATTATGTTACATGTAAAATTTCCACTTTACCATTATTTCTACATTCATATTTGTATGACACACTATTCTCCATGTTTTCAAACATTCATTGGCTACCACGTTTAATTTATACTGCATTATCCAAGCTGTACACATCACTTTCAAATTTTAATCATTGTTATGATGGTGTGAGAGATACATTTTAATGCTTATAATGGTTTTTCTGTCCTTGTGTAAGGGCATTTATAATGAGACTAATACTAGGGAACCTGAGTTATGAGAGGGTAAAACTCTTATCTTAAAGATATAGCACCATATTAAATAAATATATCAGTTCATGCTTTGCAAAAGCATTCAACATAGTTAAGGTTTTGGAAAGAAAAAAAGCTACCTCTCTCATCTTTGTATTCTCTTTAGTACCATGGCTGTACTTCTTAATGCATTCATACATAATGGCATGAATATGTTCACATTTGAATATATTATTATAATATTAATATTCATATGTTTGTTGGAATAATGAAAAATACAACACCTAAACAGTCTAAAAGTACACTAAACACTGTGCTTATTGCATATAGTGCATGCTAACGCAACAGTGTACAGTGTTTTAACACCATCATCACACCTCCTGCTAGATGATGACCATTTACAAAAAGAAACACCTCTCCAATGTCAACCTCTATTTAAATTCTATAAGTTCCGATGCAAAGAGCACAGTATTACATTTGCAACCATTTTAAAGGAATAAGGCAGATTAACAAAACTAAGCATGTTATTTATAGTCAAAATACATACTGAAGCATGCCTAGAAGAAACTCAACACATTAAAAAAAAATCAAGACAAGAAGAACTCCTTTTTTCTTACAAATATTTTTGGTTAAATTTGATTGGTTCCTGTGCTTTTATTTGTATACAGAGTGAATGTGGTATGTGACTCTAGTATCAGAAAAATACAGCAAAACATAAAAAAGCATACGTGTGGACATTAGCTTAGATACAGGCAGCAGTGTAATCTACATTTCATATAGCTAAATTCTTACAAATTAATATAATGTAAAAAATGGTGTTATAAATCTGTTCCATTTCACCTGTGTCACATTCTGTCCAGGAGTTTATTTCTTCTTAGTGAACAGACTAAACCTCTTCTCCTTTTCCTTCTTGGTTGAGGGAACCTCTAGAGTAGAGGAAGAATGTGGAGGTAGGCTTTGTGCCTTCACTCCTGATGGCCCTGCAACTGGTTCTTCTGTCACAGCTTGCGCTGCCTGTTCTATAGCCTGAGTCCAGTTCTGGAGTTCCTCCTGTGGTCAAAAAAACATACATAATTAATGTTGTTTACTGGCATATTTCAAAGATTATATTAACTAATAAGGAACTAATTAGAAGAAGCAGTCAATAGCGCACCTCATCTTTACACTGGAACAGATATTCACTTCCATCTTCAAGTCTGGCAAATGGAACAAGGATAAAACAAGTAAGCCCTATATGTAATATATATCACAACACTTAAATACATTTTTATTTAAAAATGTATATCAAGATTGATGACCAAGAACCTTACCGGAGTTTGAACACCTGCTTCTTTTTCTTATAGTTAGTCAAGATCTCGCAAGAAGCATTGGTGAGGTTCAGGGGTTCCTCACCATGGTAGGTGACACTGTGACTAAAGCTCTTGGCGTCCTTGTAAGCAGAGAGCTGCCCAGGTTTAAGCACACAGTAAATGTTGTTCCAGGACCTGAGACAAGAGATGAGAAGGTGGACAGTTTTAAATTAAGTTCACTAGTAAAATGATGACTACTTTTGATTTAGCCAAAGTCACTGTTGTATTCTGGTCAATGGCTTGGATACTTCTGGTTGTCTCTAGACAACAGCTAACCTGTTGGATGCCTTCTTATTAGGTCCCTCCATCTCATGTTTGCGGGATAGAGGTCCCTCCATCAAGACAGATTGAACTTGTGAAGATTCAGTGGGAAGCGTGGCAGCTTTTTCTGTCTCTTTGGTAACCTGGATGGATGTGGAAGGGTCCAGCTCCAGTGAGCCACTTTCCTGCATCTCTGTGATCAAAGGCACAGTGGAGTCCCCCGCTGTGCCATCAACTCCCACGGAACTTGGCTCTATTACTCCTAAACCAGACTGAAGATCACAAAAGAACAAAGTTTGGGTACAGATTCAAACAAGTATTACAGGTATTAATTTAACAAACATTTGCAGTACAAAAAGTTAAATTATATTATAGGTTATTGTATGCTGTATTTGCAATAGAAGATGACAACATGAAATGTGAAAGAATATCTGATAAGAAGAATGTTGTTAATGAAGAGAAAGATGATGAGATTCCTACAAAAACTGGAACTCACCAGAGACTGTTCTTCTGTGGTGTAGAGTTGTGAAGACTCCTCTTCAAACCCAGTGTCTTCTCTCCTAAGGTCAAAGTTTGAATGTCAAATTTTAGTATGGAATATGGCGTTAGGGAAGTACAGTGTTACCCAGATTTGTGTATATATATATACCTGCTCTCTTTTTCCGCCTCTTGTCTGTACTGTTCTATGTCCTGTTGTTGTTTCCGAATTTCCAACAGCTCCAACTACAACAGATTATTAATAGTCAGTGAGTGGTGCCTGCCAATGAAAACAATTCACATAATTTGAGGTATCATTAATGAGTTTAATATGTCAAAGTTTAAAACACATACTGTTGTAAGACGTTCCAGTGCTGAGAAACGCTCTTCCCATGTAGCAGTGGATTTCTCGAAGGCTTCATGTCTCTTGAGCAGTTTTTCGACCTCATCCACTGTCTCACCCAGATCCCTGCTGGCCACGTATGGCTCCTGGGCAATCAGCCAGGCCTCTGCCACAGATGCATCCCTGGCAAACTGACATACCTCCAACACTAGAAGGAGATATAATTATAAGCAGCTGTAATATGCAGTAGTGTGTATGTTTGTGTGTGTCTTTTCATGTGTGTTTGTTGACATTTGTGGACTTACAAAGTCTAAGCCATTCCCATCTTTCATCCCATTTGAGCATCATCTCTTTCCTCTTCTCTACCAGTTGCATCAGCTTCTCTTTAATCTGTGAGCACAAGAAGTGTACTTGAAAATGGATGCCTTTCCGGACACTTCGTTGTGGCTACACTTGCTACCTTCCGTGTCTGATTACCTCTGCAGAGTCCTTATGCTTGCGTTCCAGGAGGGCCCGGCCCAGCTCCACACACTGATTAAACTTTGGCCCACGCGTCTCAATTTCAGCACGGATCCCTTGGTGATACTTAATCAGGAGCTCCACTGAGGAGACATCTCTTCATTGGACAACAAGAAACAAATTTCATCACAAAAAGGAACATAGACATCTCTACTGTAATGATTACAATTATACATTTCCATACCGTGGCTTTTCCTGTGTCTCTATCTGCTGAATGATGCTTTCCATCCAGGCCAGTAGGTCTCTCACCATGGTGAAGAAGCGGAATTTGTCTGCAGTATCCTCCAGCTGCTTCCTCCTGCCTGCGCAAGCAGCCAGCAGACCATTCCAGGCCTCCACAACCTCTTTTTCAGTTGCTTGAATAGCAGTGGCCTGATCTCCTGCATACTGGGCATACAGTCTTGTTGCGGTCTCCTGGAACTGTTTCACCTGCAAGGAAAGAGATATAAAAAATCCCTAACTTTTTGAGATAAATATGTACAAGTCAGAGATGAAAATATGAAACTTATTATGACAACCACTTGTTCATGTAATGTGTTTTCCTTGCCTGTTTGCCAAGGGAGCTGATGGCTCTTTCAAATGCAGCATGCATTCGGTGGAAGGACTCTGCTTTACTGAAGTCTTCTCCCAGATCCTCAGGAAGCTCATTCTTCTTCTCCTCAATCTGAGCAACCAGCTCCTTACCATCATAAAAATACCTGACCAAATTCACAGAATATTTTAGATAATGTTTTCCAGTCTAATTCTGTACCCATTACAACACTTCACACAGGTGAAGATATTGTTAAATAATTAGAATCTTGTTCCATAGGCTTGTTTTTATGTGAGATACAGTGAGTCAGTAGGAATAATGTGATCTTATAAAAGCACTGCACTCTTTAGTGACATTTAATCTATTTAATTATTTTATACTTACTTAAGCAGGTCATAGGAGGCTGTAAGGAGCTGGGCACGAGTGTCGATGAGCTCCAGCAAATCTGCCCAGCTCTCATTGACTCCATCCTTCCACTCCGCTAGGGTTGCTGCCTCACTGTGGCCTGCTTCAATCAGATCATCTATGATCCGGTTCACAGTGTCTACACGTTCTTGACCCACTGTCCCTGTCTCCCGTGCAAACTCCCTGAACTTATCTCGCAGAATCTAAAATATTGATGGAATCAGGAAAATATTGATTGTAATTATATTTATCTAAAATATAAGTATGACTGAATATGCAAAGTTGTGTATTGCACATGTCAAGACATGCTTTTGTGTGAGAGACAGTAATTGTGCTTTGTCTGGGGGCAAGTTCCTATTTACCGTTACATGGTCAAGGTCTTGGCCCATCACTTGTGAAGAGGCCACCACATCACGCTCTGCAATCCACTGCTCAAGATCCTCCACTTCACGACTAAGCAAGAAATGGTGATATGTGTGGTCCAGCTTCTTTTTGCGGTCCTCTGCCAGCTCCTTCAGCCCAGCATACTGCTTGTCAACTTGTCCTTGTCTTCGGATGATGGCCTCACTTCACATACAGACAAATACCGATTAATCTTTGTTATGGAGCGTTTTTAACCTACATTGAGGTGCCTCAAGATTCAGTTCAGCTTGGCCCACTTATCTCAATATACAATACATTGTGTAAAGACATGCAATTAGCCCAATATACCCATCTGGGTGCTCTTCAGCCAGCATCTTCTGGGCACGGTCTGCCAGCTGCTGGATGGAACATGCATAGTCATCCACTGCCTGCTTCAGAAGCAGGTGTCGCTTCAGCATGATCATAGCACTCTGTTCATCCTACAACCCAGAGAGATTAATTGTCAGAGACTGTTTATTTTAGTATGGCTTTTCATTGCACACAAAATTTGGAGCCAGCACAGAGTTGACATAACTTGGCATTTTGAAGATTTTTTTTAAGACAAGCAGCATAAAACAGCAATACTGTTCTTCTGTACGCTCTACCTTGGCCTTCTCATCAGCAATCATGTAGAGTTCTTGTTCCCCTATCCAGGCCTCAGACTCATCTGCATCATTGTAATACTGCTGGGCCTCATTAGAGCCATAGAGCCGTGCTCTCCGTTTGGCCATCTCATCCTGCAGCTTTGCCCACACATCCTGTAGCTTCTTCATCTCCTCAGACATGTGTTCTTCCTCTGCTGCTGCCACCATTCGCCGACCACGCTCTAACACTTCATCAATGAGTGGCTGGTGACCGTCAATCTCTTTTTGAAGAGACTGTGCAGGATATGAAAGGATTATAATTAAAGGGGTAGGTGATGTATATGAAAGGAGGCATGATCACTTGGTGAATATAATAGAAATTACTTCCAATACAAGCTGAAATAGACCATAGATGGAGAAAGACCATGTTGTGAAGTCATGTTGTGTTCTGCCAATCTGGTTAATTAGGAATGATTTATGGGTGTAAGTGGAAAAAATAAAAAACTCACTTGGTTCTTCTTGAGCAGAAGTTGGACAGTCTGAAGATTGTTGCCATGTTCTTCTGACATTGCCATTGGTAACCTCTCGTTAACCCAGAGCTGAGGAGAACAAATCAAAACTTTTATGTAAGAATTCTTTAGGAAGAAAGATCAACAAAAACTAATAATGCATTCTGAGAAACTGTAATGCTAGGCATGCACATACTATCTCATCTGCAAGATCTCTGAAGAACTGGTGCACTGCCTTAGCGGCCTCCAGCTTGCCCCTGCGTTGGGCGAGAGGTGTGAGGAGCTTCTGGAAGTCCCTCTGAAGTGTCTGCTGCTCAATTTCAAGCTCAAGTTGGTCCTCTCTAAGAGAAGCATGCTGCTGTACAGCTTCTTGAAGTTCTTCAAGCTCCCGTGCACGATCCCGAACATGATTCTCTGTCATCTAGGGGAGAATAGGGCAAATTTAAGCAGTATTCTATAAATTACCACCAAATATGGAAAGACAAAGCACAGACCATAGTTGGCTTCATGTGAGGTACTCTACTGAATCGTAGTAGACACAAAACAATGAAAAAGTAACAAATTTAATGTCACACCTGATGTTTCTTCAGTAAGATGTTGGCACTAGTAAGATCCTTAACTCCTTCATCCACATCACCCTGGAGCTGCTGCTGCAATTTAGCCAACCATTTCTTCAGGTCAGCAAGGCTCTGATCAAACAGCTCAGAACGGTTTGCGTCAAAAAGCAGCCGAGCCTTCTCCTGTGTGGTGCTCTCCAGCTTATCCCAAAGTTCATGAAGCTTAGCAAGACGATCGGTGACAATGGGCTCAAACTCAGGCTTGGATTCCATCAATTCCTGTCCCTCCTAATATGAGCATGATTGAAAGTACATATTCATGTTTTCAATCATTTCAACACATTGATACTAGGGCTTCAACAGAATCTTATATTGTTTAATAACAAATTAGAGCTCAAGGTAGATCTGTCTTTAAATGTTTAAAAGTTGTTGTAAAAATGTTTCCCGTATGAATTTTTTTTTTTTTTACTTCGGAAACCCAACTGCTGTGCTTTATTAAAGTACATATAAAATTGCTATATACCTTATCAATATTATGTAGCCAATCCTTGTTAGATGCTAGTTCTGCCATGAAGGCCTGGTGTTTTTGCCACTTGCTATGGAGGTTACGAGCCTCATCATATGATGTATCCTGTGCAGTCAGCATTTTCTCATTTATCCACAGTGTAAGCTAAAAAAGAGAGGTAAATGTACACTGAATGAGAGAAAAGGTCACAAAGAACTTTATGTTCATATTAGAAGCAAATATGTGTGATCTTGCATATATGAAATTTTTGAGTAAAGCATTACTCACATCATGGGTGTTTTGAAGAAAGTGCTGAAGTTCCCTGTTGTCCTTCAGTTTCCCTGAGACTTCCTTGGCTTTGTCTCGATTCTTGTTGTACCTGAAGACATATACACATAAATATATGGGTTATTTACTGGTTGGTCTTTAGTGCAAAGTGGTGTAAGGACTTTATATGGTTAAATGTGAATACTGGCAGACATTGAAATAGCTTTTCTTTACTCCTCCATTTTCTCACTGCAGAGAGAACACTTTAAAAAAGCAACATAAGCCAATGGATTAGGTATACTTTCACAAAGAGATCAATACCCATCAGGGCAGGCGCCCATCTTAAGGAGGTACAGACTGCCTGGGCTAATAGGGGAAATGCAGGGCACTCCTTTACAGTATAATGCTTCTCTCACTCACTGCCGATTCAGCATAAAGAAAGCACAAATGCATGGGTGCATTAACATGAACTTTGAGGAGAAACCTTTAATTGCTTTCTGAATTATACTCACATTGTGAGTTGACAAGTCAATTATTTGATGTAAATGTTCTTGTCATTCCATTTTATATACTGGTCCAGAGGATAAGTAATAGGCAAAATCATTAACTTTTGCATTAACTTTTCTTATGTAGGGTCGTGTGGGATGCTAGAGCCTATTGAACCAAAAAATCGTCTGTTTTATACACTTTTACTATCTAATTAAGCATGGAATTTGGATTGAAAGGGCAAGTTTATTTAGTGGATAGTTCATATGCTAAGTCAAAGAGGAATGTTATATGTAAATTATGTCTGACCTTGGATGTAAAATAGGTGAAATAATATAAAAAAAACAGACCTATTTTCAATAGAGCACATCTTGTCTTTGACCCTTTCTGAGTAAAGGTTTCCACTGTCCACCAGCCTCTGACCAGTCTCCAGTGTGCTGAGTATCTTCTCCTCATTAGCATCCATGGTG